ACTGGCTATGTAGACCAGGCTGTCCTGGAACTCAGGAGCTCCACCTGCCTCTGCTTCCTGAGTGCTGGGATTAAAGGCATGGGCCACCACCACTGACTCCATGATTTGGTTTTGAGAGAGTCTCATGTGATCCAGGCCCTCAGACTCACTTTGTAGTGCTGGGATTATAGGCATGCACCACCACAACCAACGGATACTGTCTCTCAGTTGAGTCCCAGCAGTCAAATGGGGGTGTATCCCTTAAGCCCTGCAGATGCCAACTTCTGAAAACTCTAAGCTCTGGCTGCACTGGGCCACCGTCTGTTGTGACAACAGCCAGCTGAGGAGTGGCCTCTCTTGCCCATGGCCTGAGTGGCTATGGTAGCAGTATCTGGTTGGTGACTGAGTGCAGAATCCCAGATGCTCTGAAGACAGCCTGGGACTGGAAGGCCAGTGGCCTAAAGGCTGGGTGGTTGGACTCTGGGGCCTGGGACTAGGGGTCAAGATTGAGCCTTGCTTTTTTTATACTTGTGACCACAAACCACAACCATCAACCAGTCTATAACTAGAGTGGGAAATCGGTCTGTGCCAAAAGAGTCACCAGAAGGGACTTCCCCGGACTGGCACAGTGCTACCCACTCCCAGATATGTAATGCAGGCCTCAGTTTCCACATCTGTAAAATAGGGTGTTGCAGCCGTGACTCAGGGTGCATTCTGGGGTGGCGTCTTGGAATTGTGTGGAGCATGGGTACACCTGTCCAGAGCCTGAACCGGGAGCTTGACAATCATGTGACTGTCATCTGAAGCGGGAGGTGGGGGTGGGGTGTCTTGCCTTGTGCCTCAGCCATCACTCACCCATGAACCAGAGCCACATGCAGTGTCTCCGATGGCTCATCCGTAAACCTTCCTACAACCCCTGGTTTCCACACAGCCCCTTGCGGGAGGACTGGCTGACTCATTATCCCTACCATGTCTAGGAGAACTTGCCTGGATCCCAAAGGCTGGCTCCCAGGCAGCACAGGTTGGGGGTGGGGAAGCAGTAACCAGAGCTGCCCCACAAAGGGTGACCTTGCAGGCTGGCCCAGGCCTCTCTGAGTCGGGGAGTGAGACTGCCTGGTTTCCATGCCAACCCCACTTCTGAGAACTTGGTGTCCATGAGGGAATGCCAGAAACTCCCTACGCTGTGAAGTGGAGTGGCTATACATTTCCTTAATTACTGGGGACTGACCATTCTGGTCCCAGGTCACTACTCCTGGGAAGGTTGAGAGATTGATAGAACAAGGTGATGTACTCTTGTTATCCTAGCTACTCAAGAAGCAGAGGCAGGGGGATTACAACCTTGACAACACAGCAACACTTTCTTGAAAATTCAAAACAAAACAAAAACCTAGTCAAAAATCCACATTCTGAGCCAGGCGGTGGTGGCGCACACCTTTAATCCCAGCACTCAGGAGGCAGAGGCAGGCGGATCTCTGTGAGTTCGAGGCCAGCCTGGTCTACAGAGCAAGTGCAGGGACAGGCTCCAAAGCTACACAGAGAAGAAAATCCACATTCTGGGGCCTGTACAAGAAACCCAGAATGTCATTTGAGACCCTAAACAAGCCACTGCCCTGTCAGCTCTAGGGACTCAGGTTCCTTCGTGGACCACCATTCTGTCAGATGTCCCTTGCCCTGAAGTAGAAACTTGAAGGGAAACACCAAAGTATAGAATTCTGAGCTGGAGGAGGGAGGGCAGAGGGATTGGTATGGACTGGGAAAACCTGGAGGCCTTCCTGGAGGAAGAAGGTTTGGCTGGGTGCAAGAATACAGTGAGCTGAATGGGGGGTGGGGTCCATCTAGCTAGTGTTTATTTAGAGACTCCTGCATGCTCCATGCCTTGGTAGAGGAACCAGGAGGGAAGGGCATAAAGGTGTGGGGTCCAGGAATCCTGCATGGAGAAGAGGACACGTGACAAATGAACTGTGACAAGAGACGGACAGGGTCCCGAGGGAGGTGGCTGTAGAGGGTGTGGTGGGGCTAAGAACCCACCAGAAAGAGGCTAGAGGAGCCTGCAGTGTGGTGAAGGGGAGCATGGGAGGGAGACTGAGACCTGACTGAGAAGCTCTTGGGGCATGATGGGAAACATGCTTCTCTTAGGGTACTGGGAGCCACAGCAGGCCTGAGGCAGGGGTGTTGCATTTGGATTTGCACTTTTAGGTAGGTGGTCCACCTGCCTGCCCTGACTCACCCCTCCCCCTTCTCCTCTTTTAGTAAGGGACCCAAATGAATGGCTCTCACCTCCCCCATTCCCACCCTGGCAGAATCCATCTTTTGTTTGTTTGTTTTGGGACAGGGTTTCTCTGTGTAGCCCTGGCTTTCCTGGAACTCACTCTGTAGATCAGGCTGACCTCAAACTCACAAAGATCCACCTGCCTCTACGTCCCGTCCCGAGTGCTGGGATCAAAGGTGTGCACCACCTTCCGGCTGGGTCTGTCATTCTACAGCTCAGCTCTCTACAGCCTTGGTAGTGTTAGTTGCTATAGAAACCAGGCCTTCACGGCACCCAGATGCTGAAACCACCCCAAGACCCAAAAGCCTCAGGACTGGGCTAACCCACTGGGGAGCCAGCCTGCGCACCCACACGCCAGCCTTACAGCCAGGCAGCCAGTTGGGGTTCCATTTCCTCGTCTGTGGAATGCCTGTGGCTGGAGAACCCACTGGCTACCGGTGCTGCAGGAAGCTGCTCACCCTCAGCGGCGCCGGGTCCTCAGCCTCAGCCCAGTGGGGCTGCCCCTCTTCATCACCTAAATCTGAACATCACAGCCATCTTCATCCGTTGAGGGCACAGGCCCACAAGTATGCCCACCATCCCGATGGGTCTGAGGTTCGCTTGCATGTGGCTGTGGTAAAAATTGCAGCAATGAGCAAACACGCACACCGAGCCCCTCTCAGTCCCTGCATGTCGTTGAGGTTGTCTTTTTTTTTTTTCCTGTAAATTGGGTGTTTTGTCTCCAAGTATGTCTATATGAGGGCATCAGATCCCCTGAAACAGGAGTTACAGACAGTTGTGAGCTGTCATGTGGGTGCTGGGAATTGAACTCTGCACCTCTGGAGAGTTCTCTCCAGCTCCCCACGGTTCTGTCTTGTTTTATCTGAGGAACTATCCATGCACTGGGGTCCATCCCTTCACCTTCCCATTATCAACCTTGGTCACTTTCTTCATAGCAGCTCTCTGATGGTCACTGGTGACCCTGCTCACATCTCATTGGCCAAAACTGGGTCAAGGGGCCGTTCTTTGGCAGTCAAATGACAGCAGTGTGGCTGATCCAGGTGGATTAATCACTTGGGGTGGGTGGATGCTGCATAACCATAACCTCTAGCCTGAGTGGCCCTCCATCCCTAGTGGCTCCTCAGAATATTCCTGACCACACAGTGCCTCTAGATCTGTGCCCTGCACATACGTCACCCTAACACTAGCAGGACAGATGGGCATGTCAGCATTGATTAACTGCTCCCAAGGCCACCCGCCACTCCAAGGAATATTCTGGTAAGGGCATACCTGTGACCCCGCCTCTTGAGGCAGCCTCCCTCCCTTGCACATGGTCCCCTGACCTTGATGCTTATTTTTGGGAGAGGGGTTTCAAGACAGGGTTTCTCTGTGTAGCCCTGGCTGTCCTGGAACTAGCTTTATTCTCAAACTCAGAGATCCACCTGCCTCTGCCTCTCAAGTGCCAGGATTAAAGGCATGGCCACCACCACCTGGCAACTTTGATGCTCTATTTTGTAAACTTAAACATGAGTTATGTAGGTTGCCCAGTTCACGCTGAAGCCAAATGTTCCCGAAGGTACTTAATTTTTCTAGGCTGCTGAGGAAGAGCGGTGGCAGGCACATCCTGAGTCTACATCTGGTTAAGACCCTGGGCCTTAACCGCCATGTTGGGCCACCCTGGGCCTGCCTCTTCTCCTTTGTAAAGCCACCATGAGCTCAGTGAAGTGGAGACCCAGCACTAACAGCAGACGTTACTGTCTTAGGGGCAGGTACACATAACATTGTAGACAGTGTTACAGTCAAAAACCATCTTCCAGGGCTGGCTCAGTGGTTAAGAGCATTGGCACTTCCAGAGGACTGGAGTTCAATTCCCAGCACCCACATGGCAGTTCACAACTGTCTGTAACTCTAGTTCCAGGGGATCTGACACTTTCACCTCAATGCATATAAAATAAAGTGAAATTTTATATATATATAT